TTTTTTTTTCATTTTTGTTTTTTGCACAATACTGTATTTACAATGAGTAAATGACGTTTTAAATTCATTAGTTCATAGCAATGCTTTTTTTCCAAAAAGGTAAAAATTCTTAGTAACAGAGAGTAAGCATCAACAGCCACCTCATTTATTTATACAATAAAAATCACAAGAAACCACAGTCACCTAGAAAAAAAAATAAAGACAAGCTTAAGAACTAGTACAATAAAATGATGCATTGAATTAAGTTACATTAATCGCATAGAATTTGTGTAAAAAGTATGTAGAAAAAACACCTGATGTAACCTGTTACAGTCATTGACCAGTTATGAGAGGTACAGAGGGTTATACAGGTAGATATGTGTGAAAACTGTCCATACTGTTTGACCTGGGGAGGAAGAGAAGAGGGGTTGCACCCCCTTGCATACACTGATAAAACCCTGTTTTGAATATGGCCTCTGAAGTTTGTAAGGCATATATAAGAGGTGCACTTGTTACCAACTGGTTCTGGAACAAACTCTTAGGGCATCCCCACCCTTGAAATCAAAGGTGATGCTGGAAATTTATAGTAAACAAACACGCATCAAAAATCACCAGAGTGTTTAGTATAATTTCTGCCAGTCTGAGGGATCCAGATATTTTCAATCAGAGCATAAGTCGTAGTGAAAACAGTATCTAAAACATGCACGTTTCTCTCAGGTATATCACAAACTCAGGATAACACCATCCCATGAAAACACAGAGTTTGCAGGCAGCGGATCCAAGCCGCAAGTGCCCACGTCACGCCACCGCTCCCTCCTGCACCCTGATGCTGTTTCGGAGGTTGCTCTGCTCTGTCAGAGACGATCCCAGGTGGGAACGTCAGCTCGGGCTCGGGCTTGGCCCAAATGCAGTGGCTCGCTGGACTCGTAGCCTGCTTCTAAGCAATCGATGAAATCAAACACTGCTAGTTGCTGTTTCCATTTTAGGACACTAGTTTCTTTCTGCATGCCCTGAATTCACCAAAAGGGACAACAGCGATACCACATGAATCACGCAGCGAATTTCACCTACATGAAGGACTCTTCCCACAGTTAGTGGAATTCACGGGCAGGAATCACCTAACCGGGTGTTTATCAGTTGTTTGTTTCGGGTAGTCACCTTAAAAAAAAGGTACTTCTAGGACTCCTTCCTGCCAAAAAGTGGTTTTATTTGCAAAAATGGCAACATTGTATGTGTAATACCTTAAAATGCCTATCAATATTTGCATTTGATATAAATAATGCCTATCTTGGTGGAGTGTAGGAAAATACTGTACACTTTCTTTTTGTAAGTAATGCCATTAAAACTTTGAGAGTAAAGAGTATAATTATTCTACAGACCACCACCAACAGCTCTTTTAAATATTCACACAGTATTGAACATATTCATATACACATATATTGTATTCTGCAGCATCAGATCTGATGCCTGAGTCATGAAATACTCCAAGGAGTATTATAAATATACATATATGTATTATAAACAGGAAAATACACAAACACACACTCTGACTGGAATTATATATGTATGTATACATACATACATGTGTATATATATGCATATAAAATTAACTCGGACTGTGTTGGCAGAGACAAAACTGAAATGAAGTCAAAATACGTTGAGAAAATTTCTAGTATGAAACAGAACGTAAGTTCTTTATGTTAATGATTTTACTTTCACCTCACTTTTGATAAAAATAAGCCACTCTGTACTCAGCAGATCCTCTCCTTATGCAAAGGCCACCAGCTCCGCTGCTCCTACTGAAGCTAAACCTTCTCTAGACAGACCTAAAATATATACTTTTAAAATGCTGCAAACATAGACTACAACATCCATCTGAAGTGACCACCAAATACATTGCAAATCAGAAGAAAAGGTGAAAACAGTGCTCTTCAGTGGGATCACAGAGGATATGAAGTAGATCAGAATGCAAGCTTGTTTAAACCTGGCAAATGTCCACTTTGTCTCATTGCAAAATTCACCATAGCTCATTTCTGAAAACCTACACTTCTTCCTTTTTTTAACCACCCCAGTAGTGGATTACATGACACAAGTGAGGATGTTAACGTTGATTCTGGAATTGCAGTGTTTCATCGTGCTTTCTCCTAGTGGATCAGATTTCATTTTATTACAGGATTATACTGATTCTGGCATGCAAATTTGTTTTTTTATTAGGCAGTCATAAAGTTACGTACTAAAAATCTACCTATACATCTACGCATTTTAATTTCTATTTAAGCGCTCCTTAGAATACAGACTTGACAAAGTGTTGAACTCCAGATCAATGACCATACTATCAGCATTAATCACTTTTCCGGCAGCAGTTAATCCATTTAGCAAAGTTATTTATCTAGTTCCCACTCTCCTTTTCAAAGAGAAGTAGCAGTCAGCATACTAATCACTGTGGCTTGCCTTTGCAGCACGTTTTACTTCCTTGGGAAAAAATAATACAAGGATTAGATCCAAAAATATAGTGCATCTTAAAAGCAGCATATACCCTTAGAAAGACATTTAATAAATTACTTGTACAATATATAAAATAATAGTTTTATACTGCAGCATCAAACTCTGACGCCTGAGTCACCGTATGTTAGGAAGTCTGTGATATAAATACTGGGATGTCCTGATAACACAGCCAACATTTTTGCTTTTGTTTTGCTTGTTTTATGTTTTGTTTTCTTTTTCTTTTTTTTTTTCTGTTTTTGCACTACCTTTTTGTTCCAGAATCAGCCTGCAATGAGCTTTAATTGTGTTCAAGGCACCCCCAGAGAACGCAGAGAAACAAACACATTATATAGTGTAGTACTCACCTGACAAAGCATAACAAGCCTAAATGAAATGAGGTTTTTCTGGCAGTACAAGTATAGCCATTGCAGAGAAAAAGGCGGACTAGATACAGACTGGACAAAGCTTCAGGGACTCCCATGCTCAGGAGAGCAGTGCAGCGGCCAGCAGCGAAATGGGGTTTCATCACACACCACTCCTAAGCAACACCTGACTGATCAGATGCTGCATATATCTTCTTTGACAAAAGCAAAGAGATCCTTACTTACAGATCATGGTGACCACTGGCCAAACTCTTAAAATTAATAAATACTGGAGTCAGGTTTTTTTCTTTTAAACGATATTCTTTTGGTCAGTTGTTTTGATCTCATGACAAGAGTTGGGTATGTCAACTCACGTCCAGATCTGAAACTAATTCTCCCAGTGTCTCCCTTTAAAGTTAGCCCAGTAACAGTTTGGAGAGACACATGGTTCAGAACAGCAAAAAAACCTCAAAACAAAAAAGAAACAAAAAACAATCATCACCACCACCACCACCACCGAAAAATAAAAACCCACTGAAAAACCAAGATACATGTAAATATAGGAAGCAATGACACAAAATCAGCCACTTCTAATGGGGAAGAATGAAATCAAACATCCAGAAAAGCTCATGGGAGAGGGCAAGAGAGAAGAGAGAGAAAGATCGAGGAAGAGACACTTATTTGAGCAGTGGTTTTAAGTATCAGTTCCCATGACAGAGGAAATCAAGAGACCCAGCACCAGTATGAAGCCAGGTCAAACCTAAGGGCTGCAGCGCAATGGGTTGTGTGGGTGGGTTTTTTAAAACCATTGGAATGAGGTCAAGAGTACCAGTTGCACATGAGTTGTTAGCAGAGTAAATCTTCATGTCAGGAAGCAAGTTAAAACTTGGTTTTATACTCATAAAACATTCTATCTATTCATATATATAGGAGGTCACTTAAAAATAAAAAAAGGCAACAGAAAAACATCTTTAAAATACTGTGTCAGTTGACCCTTCCCTCCCTCCCACCCATCCCCCCCAAGTAGCTATGACTCTATAATGTGATTCACATTTAGTTTTAAATTCTAGCTTTCACCATGGTCTCATAGAAACAAAACTTCTCTGCGAAGCACAGAACTGCTTTGCAACGTCAATGAATTCAAAGGAAAATCAAATTCTCCCCAAAAGAGCTTCTCAGTCAGTTACCTGCAAAAGATGGCTGGGAGGGGGTTCAAATATATTTAGTTTAAGCTCTTTTAAAAAGAAAGGACGACTCCTCCTCCCTTTTTCAACCGTGTGAAATAGGAGTTTATGGCATTTGTATATAGTTGAACATCTAAAGGTAAGGATTTTGTACAGTAACGATTAATACTTAAACATAAATATTCTCCTACATTATATACTAGTTTTTCTTTGTACATGCGGAGGGAAAAAGTATTTTCAACAAACATGGCACATGCTATATGCATTTCCTCCGGGGTAGCTTGGCTACAAGAGTTTGGAGGAAGAGGGTAAAAGCAAGACTCTGTGGCAAGTGGGCGACAGTCCATGAGCACAGTCTCAAGATGTAAGAAGCGGAGAGAGGGAGCTGATTCCTCCTCCAAGGTAAAGACGCTGATCTACTGAGTGCCTCAAAAAAGTACCAGCACACACCTCTAGTGTAAACGTTAGCACAGAAGACCACATCATCACTCAGTGCTTCTGAGAAGCCTCTTCCCTCCCACCCCCGCACCCCCGCCCCGCACTTTTTTTTTTAAACAAGTGTGAACAGCTGGTCAATTTTTTCAGCGAGAGCAAACAATATCAGCCAGTAAAGCACACGACAGTTGTCGTCCAGGATAAAGCCGCGCAACCTGGCACACGTAGGGCAAAGAACCACAAAAGAAAAACTCAATACACTTAGAATAATAATAATAATTATTAAAGAGCATTAGGAGGACGTTTTTCTGTCTACGCTGTACATACAGATGTTACGCTCGGAAAGCTGCTGTCTCACACAGTCATAACACGAGTCAACATTGCTTAAGATACAAATCCAATACAGTTACAACTAAGCCAATTCACTGAGTAGTCTCCTTTGAGACAGCGCTCTTTTAGCTGCAGTTTGTGCTGAGGGCAATGCTGTAGGATGAGAGGATCCTGGAACACAAGGATTTGAAGGGTAAGCAACCAAACTGGGTGTTGACAGATGAATGTTTTGCTCTTAGAGGATACAGTGCCACCTTGACTTCTGTATGGAAACCAAAGTCAACGATTAGGGGTCTGAACCTGCAACTCTTCCTACCAAGGCAGGATCACTGACTTCACCAGACCCAGCTCTGCAGCAACTCAGGTCTGGTGAAGTAAACAGGGTAACATCTGGGGAAAGCTGAGGTGAGACTCTACGGACTAGTCGCAGTAGCAGTTGCTTTCATGAGTAAAGGCTGCAGAACTGGGGCTGGATGAAAAGCCCCCAAAAGTGTATCAATTTCCGTTTACTTTACTTTGTGGAACATATGATGAATTGATCCAGTTGTCAAATACTTTTTTCTTTAAGAGTGAAATATACTTTACCCTATAGGAATCCAAAAGCATCATTAACAGCACTTAAGCTTGGTATGTGAAACAGAAAGAAGTCTGAATACAAAAATAATTCAAGCAGATTCTCTTTACAAATTGTATAGTGAATTCAGTATTTGGCAAGACTGTTTTTCCTACATAATGATCTCCTGAGTGTTTGTCTATTAGCTAAAACTTTTCTATTTTCTTTAGGCCATAAAGCAAAGAAAACCATATACTCAAGTTATACTGAAGTCACAACTTCACTTATGAAAAGAGGTTTGACCAGAAACTCAGTGCAAGTGGCAAAGTTGACCATTACTGTACAGTATCTGCAAGAAAATAAAATAAATCCACATTGCTCAGGTGGCACGAAATGGCTGTGCCAAAAAAATTGTCTATAATAAAATCTCAAATAAGCTTCCAACATTAAAATTTTATAAATAAGTACAAATTGAGTGATATTGCTGAACTGCGAACTGAGAAAAAAAATCGTGTAACAAGTTACCAAACTAGTTCTAGCGTCAAAGACAAAAAAGGAATGTTGGAACTTGTTTATACAATATAAATGAAAGCTTCCAGTTTGTAGGATGAGAAAAATTGAGGCATGCAGGGACTTTTGCATATGGATATATATATTTTATATATATTATATATAATATGTACAGTTTAGCTATAAAACTTTGATGTGTAAAGAAGCTGTCTTCAATGAAAAATTGAACATTCAGAGCAAATTCCTGAGTTAGGGTTTTGTGACATGGGCCACTGAGAAAAAAGCTGCGGTTGGGTCCTCAGAGGTGTTATGTCCATCCCTGTTAAGATTGAAATTAACATACAAAAACAGACAGTGTTGCCACTGTTTAATTCCCTGCCTGAGCGAGGGATAGCACCATTGTGAAGATAACTCCTGCTTGTAGAGAGGAGGGAATACTTAAAAACAGTATTGCTGCTAAGACCACTGTAGTGTGCACCAAATACGTTCTTCTAGACAACAAATGAACACTGCCACTGGCTGACTGAAGAACACCTGACCAGGTGTAACGTTAAGGTTACAAGTCACTAGGTGTAATCTTTCCTAGGTTGTTCATCTGTTGTACATTTATCAGTCATTTCCTGACAGAAGTCTACCGTGACCGTTTGGCTACTCTGTTCTAGCGGAAGCTCTCTCTCAGGGTAAGTACCTTGGTCAGCTCCATCCAACCCGCCGCCGGCCGTGCAATTTTCGGAGACGTTGTTCGGCAGCCAAGGTGCTCCAAGCTGCACCGAGCCTTGCTCCGAGCAGCACTGCATGCTTTCCCCAACACACTGGGATGTCACCAGGCTCTGCTCTACTCCCGCTGGCGAAGGGCTGATATTGGTGGCTGTTTGTAGATCCATAGGTCTGAGAACGGGGCAGTATCGGTGGAGAGCTTGGATCTGCTCAGGGCTCTGCATGTCTCTACACACTTCTTGGGAAAGACACGAGAAGTTATCTAACAATTCTCCCATGCTTGCTTTCAGCTGGTTCCTTTCTGAGAGCAATTTCTCTTTCTCACACACCTGAAAAAGAAAGAAGGCATCTCAGTTTGGCCGAAGGCCATCCCCTGGCTGCGTGCACCACGTACACGTGCAGCAGTACCCCAAAAGAACACTACCACGTTACATTTACTTTTATATGGGCAGAGGACAAGTCACAGAGATATCAGCTATTTTGGCCACCGTGAGTTCTGTGTGGACTGTAGCTTGGGAACCACCTGGGGGAAATACATTTGTGCTGGGAGACAATGGAGTCACGAGTTATTCCCAAGAGACCGTTAACTCCCTCAGTAAACTAACACTGCTCGATGTATGATGAAAAAAACTCTGCAAGAAACATTTTGGTGGAGAAACGCCTTTGTCCATTCAGATAACAAGGAAGTAGGGCCTACTTCCCGAAGCGAGGATGTGTTCTGGAAGTTCAGTTCACCCTCTAGATGCTGGGACAGTCAGGCAGGCAGGGCGCTCCCCACTTCAGCTTGTGTGTCCGCTGAACACTCATTCTCACTGCGATGTTATGTTATTCAGAGGAGGGGGCCTGGGGAAGTGCGTGCTCTGTGGCCTGTGCCGTGGCTCATTTTCTAACATCCTGGTACTTACAGGTTTGATTTTCACTTAATCAAGATATTTTTACAAACCCTAAAGGTAGGCGGGCTCTTTGATTCACACTCAGTGCATCAAACTCAGAGTCATTTTCCCTTTGCTCTGCTCAAGCAAAGCTCTCCCTCCTGTGCTCACAAATATCCCCTCACACCAGGATCTAACTCGAGCAGCTTCAGTCAAGAGTTTCACTGTATCAGCACACGGCTCTCGGAGGGAACAGGGTGAGCGACAGGACAGTGCCAGTGAGGAGGAAAATGGAGAAAGTCTCTTTAGGACTACTTGTGTGAGGGACTTTTAAAACTGGGAAAAGGAGCTCAGGTTGCTCCATGCGCAACAGAGCGCCAGCTGTGAATCCAGAGGTTTCTGTCAGTTTGGGATGATGAAAAAGGTACAGAGATATCCAACCAACCAGAGTTTGCCTAGCCCCAGGCAAGTTCTAGGTGAGCGCTGAGAGGGTAAGATTCAGCTGCCTCTTGCAATGTCTCCTGCAGCGTGAGGTGCTATTAGCCATAGCACACTGTGCTGTGAATGCAGAGAGCCGGCTCATGTCCAGAGTAGTGTCTGGACTAGTAAGGCCCAAGGCCAGCTGGGGTGCTGCATGCCGTGGGGACAGACCCCGGACTGGGGCTGTGGGAGTAACCCGAGGCTGGGCGCAGCTCAGGAGCCCTGACACCGCGCAGGCCACATACAGGCTCAGACCTCATGTGGCCTGCAAGGCCTTTGCGGGGTGGGTGTGCTGCTCTCCCCGTGCTCAGGAGTGAGGCAGGAGAGGCCAGGTACAGAGCCAGAGCCAGGCTCGGGTTACCCCTCTGAAAACTGTGGCTAACTCGGTGCAGAACAATCAGGATGGTCCTGCTGCATCGCATTCCCCACTGTTCCTCTCCCAGGGAGGCTGGCATACTGCTCGAGGGAGTATTTCCGATTTCGTACAGAACCAGAGCTATATCCAGAGCTAAGCTGGCCCTGAAAACAGTGCAGCCATATACCCCACCTAGTGACACTGCTAAACCTAAACTGTCTCTGCTTCTATGGCATGAAAACTCTACAACTTGGATATTCCAACTATGGGTGGCTGAAAGCTGATAGTATCACTAGGTCCAAAGCCTGCACTGGAAGCATACAGCTGTGCGAATGACAGAGAAAAAGAGAACAGTGTACATGAAAAGCACCAACTGCTAAAATATTGATAAATCTATCAGGAAAGCATAAAAATAATAAAAAAATAAACAGATGCTCAAGTACATCTTGAGATAATGAATTATGGAAGAGAATATGCTAGGAGTTTGCAGGAAAAAAGGGGAATGTGAGTGGGTGATGGATGAGTGAGGGAAAGCAGGCAGAAGAAATTACCTATCAACCTCAGAGGATATAATCGTTTCACTCACTGTCTGCTCTAAAACCATCTGCCTCTGTCAAGAAGACGGGTGACTTACGGGTGGTAAGAACAGTGAGTGGGGAGAAAGGGTCTTTCACACCCCCCTGCCCCGACCAAGTGAAAGACCCTTAAACCCTAGTGCCGTAACGAAGGATACTGGAAATTACTGGTCACAAAGTGGAGAGAAGATGACAAAGGAATTTCCACGGACCACATATTATGTCAAGTCAACTGGAGATTCTCTGCTACTGCTCGTTTTCCTAAGAGAAAAGTTAGATCCTGAAGCAGGATACAGAATAGGTAGAGGGAGAGGGCAGGAGTGCTGGAGAGAGGAAGTTAAGGTTGCATGAGCTTGTTTGATTTTGTCACTTTATACTCTTACACACCTCATGATTCTTTTGCTTCTGCAGCCACTTTTTTCAGAACGCTGCATCAGATCCCATATTGCTATATACTCGAGTACAGCTTACTAAGTAGACATTTCAACGTTTCTTTTAAAGACTCCCACACCTCAAAGGGTTTTTGATTCCTGAAAGCTGGCAGAGAGGAAGCTCTCAAGGTCACTTATACGTCTTGCATTCATTTCTCAGATGTATGTGTGCTAGGGGGAGAAGGGGACCTGAAAAGTTGATTATGTCTAAACAGAGTTGGTTACGTCAAATAATGAAGGTCATTTCCCAGGATGCCATAAACTAAATGAACCCAAATTAATTTTTAAGCGAAGGGTATAGGTATCAAACCGAACAGCCCCATGCTGGTCCAACCATTTCAGTGCTGCCCCCAGTGCTCACCCATATGGAGAACGAGAGATGTGTACGCTTCTCCATCGAGAACATCAGTTCAGTGCACAGAGACGGGTGTCTGCAGCTAAGACTGAGGCTGCTTCTCCCGACAACCTCAAGCAGGCACCTCTTTTTCACCCTGCAGAATCTCTGACTCATCCAGCACATGCTGCGGATTACGCTTGGTGAAGGAAGCAGCTACTCAGTATTTTGTTTATCTTTGATGCTTTGTTTGTTTTGCATCATTCAAGCACAACTATGAAAAATGTTTTTGTTTTTCTTGTTTTTCCCTAGGGCTTCAGCACCACAGCATTCGAAGGCCTCACAAGCCTCCCAACCAGCTTGTGGGGGTCAGTGTCACCTCTGTTTTACAGATGGGAAACAGACACGCACAGCTTTGTGTCATTTGTGGGGTGCTGATAACTCAGCTCCTTCTGACAGATCCCTGCCTCTTTCACACTGAGTTTGCTACAGCGTAAGAGAACAAAATATGATGGAGCCTACTTTAAAGGCCACTTTCAACATGCAACCTGCTATCACAAGAACCAGAAGTGCCCCATTTCCCAGACCCACTGTGTTCAATTTACAATTAAGCACATTTCAAATGTGTATATAGAGATTTAAGCCAAAGGTTCCAAATAACATTTAATTTTAATGGAAACTGGGTGTGCAAACAATCTCTGCTGGCACGGAAATTGGCCTCGGCTCCTTTTGCTTTATCTGTATGAATAAATACATTCATCACTCCAGAGATGGAGTTTAACGCTGCACTCCTAAATCCATGCTGCATAGAGACAATTAAAGCTTCCTGTCCTGTGTACTGCGTACCCACACCTTTCATAACGGCTGAACTGAGACTCTTACATTATTTTGATGTATTGGAAAGCTTTCAGCACTTTCAAGAAGCTCAAGAGGTGTCAACCCATCTTGAAATTCCAGTGCTGTCTTCCTCCAGCTGCGCGTTCATGCTGTTTCCTTCATGGACAACATCGTGCACACCTGCTACCTAGCGGCTAAGTCATCTTTTCATCACACCTCACTGGTGAGTCATTCCTATGCAGGAAATGACACCACTGCCTCTCTTCTCCATGCTTAGAAGACTGCCCTTAGCTGCATGTTGTCTGATGAATATAATTATCCCAGCACTGCCCTCCGTGCACCGTTGGTGTGCATGAGTGGCAGAGTGAAGGGTCATGGTGGAAGACATGACCCTCGTCTCAGGGCTTTTTTTGTTGTGTACCAGCTTGCTTTCTCAAAGGGCAGAGGAAGAAAGAGGAGGAGGGACAGGGCCCTCAGACCTCAGGGGCCCTGTCAGAAGGGATAGGAGTCTTTTCATTTAAGGTGCCTAGAACTGGGATGTCTACATCTGACACAGCTCTCCAGGTGATCTTACTTAGTCATGGAGAGAAATAGCCTGTACTTCATCTCCCCTGCTCTAGGATGAGACAAATAAGACTTGTCAGGAATTCATTTCTCTTTACTGATTATAAAGGAGATCAAGATGATTAGCTCCACTGCAGGTGTCTATATTGTGGACGTCTTCGTTTAGCCACAAAAACCACACCTGAGGTGTCCATACCACGAGTAAAAGGAGAGAGGAATGTTCTGAGCAGGCTTTTAGTCTCACTGCTGTCATCTCACCTCCTTAGATTAAAATGTGGGAGCACTGAACAGTAGCACCTTGGCACACAGGAGACCCTTCCCACGAGCTCTGGGCCAATAAGCAGTGCATGCTTTTACCCAGTCCTCTAAGGAGAACACTGTTGCCAAACACCTGTCAAGTAGGGTTGGGGCAAACCAACAGCCATCACTTGAATCACGGTGCGGTTTGCTCCATGACACACCAGCAGTGAGAGAGACGGAGGAAGACAGCAGGGCATATCCTTGCCATCTTGCTGCCCTAAACCAAGTGAATGCCCCCTTGTCTGCGTATTTACACTCTTGGCTTTTTCATTTCCCTTGCTATTTCCGCAGTGAATTAAAGAGCTAAGAGAAGGCATAGCAAGCTGAAATATCCTGAAAACAAAGAGCTGCCCTCTACCACACCAAAAAATACAAAAAAACCTCAAAAAATACAAAAATACAGAAAACCTCAATGTGGAGGTGAACTTGGCCCTGCTAGAGTAGGGCACTGGACCAGATGACCTCCAGACGTCCCACAACACCTAATCTGGAGGGTTCTGTGAATCCTGTCAAATATTCTTGTGATGGTACGTGGGCACGTAAGTCAGGTTTGGATGAGGAAGTGCCACTGAGGATGAACCATAAGTACTTGAGGGTCAGTTAAAGCAGACCTTTCCCCCTTACTGGAAAACATGCGAGAAGCGAACTGTGATACAGACTTCCTTTGGCTTCTGACTCACTCAACCACCTGCTTTTGATCTATCAAAATAAAGAGATACTTAGGCTTCACCTCACTGCAATTTTGTATTTGCCATCTCTATTCTGTACGTACACATATGAATATACTTCTGTCAATTACATGTTTGTATTAGTGGGTTCATTCAGTTGCGAGCAAGCTAACTGAATCCACTGAGCAGGAACAGTTCGCAGCACCCTCTAGCCGGTGGCCGGCTGGAGCTGCCGAGGCAGCAGCGTGCCACTCACCAACTTGCGGATTTCACATTCTAAGTTCTGAATACAGTCCAGTTTTCTCTTGCGGCAGCGCTGGGCTGCAATTCGGTTCTTACTGCGCCGGCGAACGTCGTGGATGAACTCTAGCTGTTCTGAGGTTAACTTGTGCATCTTTATCATCATCTGGAAATCATTCCTTGGAAGATCTGTGATTTGATCAACAGGAAAAGGAAGTTTCACCTAAAACAAACAAATACAAGACAAGAGCAAACACAGAGTCATATTTTGCTTGCTGAATGCAAGCTGAACAATGCTGAGCGGAAGGACTTTTTGCTATGCTCCTACCCCCTAAATAAACAATACACAGAAGGTTTTACAATGAGCAAGTTTTTACCACTCCCTTGTGGCACACTGTGGAGGACCAGTTGTGGTAAGCATCTCAGTAATTATACTGAAACCAACAACACAGATGAATCCCAGGTAAAAGTTTGGTCTTTCTAAGAAGCTAATAAAAAGATTTTCTTGCATTAAAATGAGGCTCTATTTACTAAGGGATGCAACCTTTCGGAAACGGTGAAGTGCCTCCCTGCTACTGATTTCAAAGTAATTTCAAGGAACGAGGTAATACTGCAGCAGGAAATCTGTCTCTGCATGGCCTGCAGGACTGAAAGCTTAATTAGGTGTGAGGTTAAAAATGCTACCTTTCACCTCAAGTGCATGAAAAATACTGTATCACAATTAGGACAGGTCTCATAGGCAGCGTTTCAAATAAGCAGTGTGCCGTATCAAAAGAAAGGGTCAGAGCAGTGGGAAGAAACATCTTCTACCCTCCTAAAATATTCACATGTTGAAATAAACCAGTACTTTCTAAAATTTGACTGTTTGTGTGGAGCGGTACCAGAGCTGCATTTCTTGAAAAAATAAATAGTCTAAAATCTCAGTTATTTGCAGTAGAACATTTTGCCTAGTGTCCCTGAACGGCCATTCTGTTCTGACACTAGACTATGCGACATTAGCTACAGGTTTTCAATTCAGAAATTCTAACCATGTCTCAAACTCTTATTGATTATGCATTAAAACAAAGCAAAACAAAAAGCTGGAACGATAAACACAGACTTTCGCAAAACCTGCAGAAAGGCTGATGTGCTGAAACACTTCACTTCTGCTTGTTTCTCCCCAAACCTATCAGCTTGCTCTAATTAAAGAGACCACCTTGCCCTACAGACCCTGCTTCACTCGTAGTGCGAGACAGATAATATGACTAAGAAAACAATACTGTTCCTGGGTGGACTGCTCTATTTGGTGATCAAATACTGATTTATTTGACAAAGCAGAAGGGGAAGACAATAACTGAATTGGTCCTCGCTTTCTTTTTTGAGTCATACCCACACTGTCCAAAAGGTGGCAGTACATATTTGCATTTCTGCCCTGATTCGGTACAATCCAATCGCTTTTGAACAAGGAGACTATTCTGTACAACAGGCTACCAAAGAAAATACACTTAATTTCTCCAGCCAAGCAAAAGATTCTGGTTGAAAAGGTTCCTTTGATACTTAAAACATGGTTATCGCCTCAAAGGGTGCACTTTAATCGCTTGGAGATAAAGAAAGTAACAGCAGAGATTAGCAATAAAAGACGGTATTTTCGTTTTAAAGAGTTCAGTTTGTTTACTCAGAACGGTTTGCGAGAGACACAAACACGCACCGCCGACTTGGCCATGCACAGCTGCATGCTCTCGCCACGCAGCCAGGCGTGTCCACAACCAGCTCACTGCCCTGCTTATGAGCTTGCATTTTCTTGAGCAAAATCTTTTGTCTTTGCTCTATTTCTCTCCAGGCCTGGGCCACGGGAAATTCAGTACACACCCCTAACTGCAGGCTTTCGCTTGCTTTCATGCCCCTGCACATTGCCCCTCTGTCCCGCCTGTGAAACTCGGCCCCCCGCGTACTGCTGCGTAACACGTTACTTTATGGCTCAATATAAAGCAGCAAGAAATACCGGACTAACGCTGCCGCCCCAATCCCCCAAACTTCTGCTTGTGCGCACAAACACTGACCTTAGACACAGTGACGTGGACTACCTTGTTTACCGACTGCTAACTAATGACATGAAACCTATTTGAGTTCCCCTGCATACCCTTTGGACAGTAAACATAAACTTAGTGTCAAGTGGGTTTTCCCTCAGCCTTCAGCCAGGGGCTGAAAACGAAAACAGCCTGTAGAGTCCTCTGAAAGACACCACAGTTTCACTACAAAAACAGGCCTTTCACATGCCGAGTTCCTCCTTGTTTTCTTAACTCCACAGCTGAAAGCAATGTTAGCTTTATTTCTCCCTCTCCCTGCTTTCAAAACGTATTTATTTGCGAGCAGGAAATGTGCTTGCAGTTTGAGTGGGAATGAAATGGAATCTACTTAAATCTGTCAGGTAGAAGTAGCTGAAGGGAAATGGGAAAATAAATAGAAACAGATTCATAAAGAAAAGGGGATTGAAAATAAAAATATCAACACAGCAGTCCAAAGACTGCTATCAGGAAAACCACAATAATCCCACTCCTGTCATGTGTAGCACTGTGCAGGAGTAAAGAAGTGAAAGGGACAGAGAGTGGAAGCAAGGTAGACTCATTTCCTTTGCCACACAGGTAATTTCCATCGCTGCTTTCCCTCTTCTCAATTAGTTATCAACTAAAAAAAAAATCCTCTGGCATGGATACAATGAATAGCCATACTGGGGTACTGCTGCAATAAGATGCTACTGATGTTTTACATCAGCGCAGGGCAAGATTCTCAAGCAGCATTAATTACAACAAAGCTATATGTCAATTGAGAAGAGCTGGTGATTGTGCCACGGGTGGGATTCATCTCATCTACCTAGAGCTATCTGAAAGTATGGGTTGGGACTAGCTAGTGTCCAGGTTCCTGCTATGGGCATCAGGGGCAGAGGAAGGCGTTCAGAAAGCAATTCATCCCACACGGCTTGTCCCTCTCCATGTCTCCACAGACGAGGCATAGACAAGACGCTATACCTTAAGCACTTAAGGTTAGGTGAGGGAGATCTCACTTGAGGTGTCTCTGAAAAAGGACAGCCAAGCTTTTCTAATGTGTAGGAAAAAAACCAAACCAAACCGAAAGTATGTGTCCTCCTAAACTTTTCTTTTTAATAACTGTGAATTTTATACAGGAAATAACTGTGTACTCTTTGGTTTGGACTATTTCAAATTAGAAGTGCAAGCAGGATTCCTGTTCCACGAGTTACTACAGCCAGAGCTAACCGCATAGACAACGCAGCACTTAATCCTTGCTATTAGCACAACCACCCTTTCCCGGAACTTTTACACCAATAGCAGAGGCTCTGTTTTCACCTCGCAACACACATGCCAGCACTTTCCGCTACTGCTGCCACCTCTATCGCCCCTGAATTCTAGCAGGTAACACTCCTTAGAAGGACAGTCAACCCACCCTGGTGAAAAATAAAACTTGTGTATGATTTTGTGGTATTCTTTCCCTGCATTAGCATTAGGATGCCAGTCTAAATGCCATTACTTTGCACGGCTAGTAGTAGTAGTGATCTAGATAGACAGGGACAGCCATTGACTCAACAAATGAAAGACCCATATATAACCAATTAATTCCTTCAAACTTCACTAGTCAGTGCTAGCCTGGATCATACGCTACTTAGTGCTGCGCTGCTCACATTCTGTACCAGTTACTGCTGCTGCTCTCTCCCTTTTCTTTTTTTGAGGGGGGAAAAAAGGAGGTCTTCATCTGGAGCTGGCCCCCACCTTCACTGCTGACTTGGCTACAATGCTTATGATTCCACAGGAAGCCAAGTGAGACCAGTGCTCTGCGATTTAACACACCTCCTCCTTGCCCCGGCCTTGGCTTATGGAGCATGAAGCTCCAAAAGCCACCACTGCTGAATACAAAAACTACCCCGCGGCCCCAGTGACTCTGCAAATTCTGCACAGACATCAACAGATACATACCATCTCATGTTTATATACTTAACCCTACGCACACTTACAGTGTCATCCTATGCACTGTGAGATATGAGGTTGATCTAGCTGTAAATGGTTATCTTGCTCAGTTAAGCTGGAGAATGAAAAATGTCTGAGATGAAATCAGACACATTACCCCTAAGCACAACTCATGATTGAAGGGCTGTCTGGGCTCAGTTTTGGTGAAAGACTCATTTCAGAAACAGTCCAAAAGGGAGACAGCGACCCTTCTTTTATCTGCAAATTTTTGCAAAATTTGTCAAGGGTCGGGCACGGAATTTTCATAGTAAAACAGTCATCACCATGAGGAGCTTTCCAGTCTATGGAAACTAGAATTTGAAACTTGAAAATGAAGTCACCTGGGTAAGGGCCTCATCCCTCTTTCTTCCTTCTCCACCAGCTAGAGTCCTTCTTCCAGTCTGATCCCACCAGTCACCCAATCTTTTCCCACTCCCACCTCTTTTATAGCAAGCGGTTCTTGTTCTGGTCCTGCCAGTTACCTCCCCTTCCCTACCCAAGGTCTTCTCACTGGGTGACGTTTATTCCAGTGAGCCAATGATCCTGACTTAGCTGCTCAGGATGGAAGGTAACAGCTCTTTGGATGCTGTGATTTACTGCGTTTGTTTATTCTTACTGCATTCACTGTCACGATGCCCAGGCTGTTTACATGACATGCCTTGGAATCCATCAACATTCCCAAATATAACAGAGCAAAACACACATCCCCCAACTCCACAGAACAATGGCAGAAAAAGGCCCAGACAGTAAGTTGTGCACACAGGACTACAGCACCTGCCGTCAGTGGGAAGCACAAGCAGAGGAACAAATCTTGCTGCTCTTCCTCCACATAGCTACATTTGGGCTTATAAGTGTTTCCAATTGGACTGAACTCCAGAAGATAAGGCAACATTCACTAGCTCCTATGGGGTTGTCCTGGCAGGAGCAGAGAAAAGGCATCTGACTTAACCTGGACCGAAGCTATGCAAGCAGCGCAAAGCTAATGAGCTGTCCTTTGTATAACAGAGAGGACAGAGAGGATGTACTCTCACTGGTCTTCCTACCCTGCTGCTTCCTGCAATTGGTAAGGCCTTCAAAACTGACCTCTTCTTTTCATGTGGCACTCACACGAGCTTGGCAGAGGATCCTAAGAGGAGAACGGTGAACCCAGACAGCAGTGTTGTACCAAGGAGCCAGGTCTGGAAAAGCCCTCATCTGCCGGCCCTTGGCATCCAGCCTGGCACAGCAG